TGTTTTAGATCTATTGTTGTGTTTTTTTGCTTGAGGATAAGGGAATGGCTAAGTTTGGGGGTATGTTAGGGTTGATTTTTTACTGCATAAATGTGTGTCGGTAGGCCTGTTTGACTATAAAAATGAACCCTTTCACATCATTATTAGCTCAAAAGGTTTACATATTCTTAAAGTAGAACATGCATATAACATTTCTGGATAATTTGCAATATATGATACTTCAGGAAAAATGTGAGAAAAAACCCGGTCAAAGTTTGAAGAAAATCACATAAAACTATTTTGAAGGAATTGTGCCAGGGTGGTCAACTTCTCCAAAACGTGCATTTCACTTAATGAAGGGCAAGGGAGTCATTTCCAATATGTTTGAATCAAGCCAAAACCGTGAGTCCAAGTCAAGAGGGTTTGTTTAGAGAATCTAAACAAATTTCCAGCTAAAATGGTGGGAAGTTCAACCAACTTGAGGACCTATAAAAAGAAGCCACTTGTCCAGCAGCAAATCATCCATTTCTATCTCGTTTTCATCTTCCTTTCATTTGTTCTTAGCGGTAGAGTACGTTCATAGGCTTTAGAATTATGTTTTAATTATTCGTTTCTTGTATTTTCACTCTTTTACTTATCGTATTGCATTTAATTCAAGTTTGTACTTTCGTTCTTCATTTATTCCATTCTTTTAAAGTACATAAGCGAGTTTACACTCCTCTAGCACTCGAAAGAGAAGAGGGTCAAGCTAGAACGSCTTGTACGCCATTATTATTCATTTAAATTCAATGGAATTTTTTTTTCCCTTTTTTTTTATGTTCTTGTGTGTTTTCTTTCCTTTAATTATACACTAAGTTATTTATCGACCTCTCTATAGAATGTCTTAGTCAAATGATTTGATTTTCGAACAAGCTCGAGATTTGACCAGATTGGGCCTGGCGCAAACTTGGGTTGGTTTCTAAAAACTTCTCTTTACGTTTTTTTCCATTTGGCCACTGGGGAATCGATTTATACACTAAAGCCCAACTCTAATAAGGGTGGGTTAGGTAAAATAACAGGAAACCAATATGGGATGTGATTTAGACATAAGCGCATAAAACACGATCCTAGAAATAAGCCCTCTGATCCATAGATGAAAATGAGTTGATAATTACTTTCTAGGATTGTAATCACATATAGAAATATGATTGTAGGTTACCTTAGCCTTTGCAGTAACCAAAAGCGGTTCGTGAAAGAGTAGAACTCATATTCCCAAGATTTAGCYAAATAGTGGCTGRTGCATTTGTCCCACAGTGTGTTTCCATGTTTTCCATCAAAACTAAGGTAGGAATAAAAGATGTTGTGTTTTATTAAATTGCTTGATATTTAAAACCTCAAACAACAACATTTCATYAATATTTTCTTCGTAAACCATAATTGCATTTAAAAYCATTCACTTCTTTAAAACTGTTTTGAAAACACAAGTCCCTGAGGACTCGACCTTGGATTACTCCTAAGTATTACTTGTGACTGTGTACGCTTGCAGGTGTCTCTTATCTTTTGAAGGTTGAGAAAGTCCCAACAATATCTCTTTTGCAGATGCGCAGGAAGAAATGCCAAATTATGTGAGGTTTTTGAAGGATATTACAACTGGAAAAAGGAAGCTTAAGGCTTATGAAATTTCACTGAGGGGTGTAATGCAATCCTTCAGAGGAAGCTACCACAAAAATGGAAAGATCTAGGGAGTTTTACTATTCCTTGTACTATTGGTAGTTCTTCATTTGATAAGGCTTTATATGATCTTGGTGCCAATATAAATTTGATACATTTGTCTGTCTTCATAAAACTTTGTCTTGGAGAGTTGCAAACAACTACAATCTCTTTGCAACTAGCTAACAGATCTATCACATATCCTAGGGGTTTTATTGAAGATGATCTAGTCAAAGTTGACAAATTTATTTTCCCTGCAGATTTTATAGTCTTGGACATGGAAGAAGAGTTAAAGATTCTCATAATTTTGGGACGACCTTCCCTTGYTATGGGTCTTGCTATGATAAATGTGCATTTGGGTAAGTTAACTTTGSGAGTGAATGATGAGAAAGCTGTGTTTGTCATGTCTCGATTTATGAAATATTGCAAGGAGGTTAGTAMATGCCATAGGATAGATGTAGTTGACAACTGTGGCTGAAATTAAAGCTTTTGTGTCAATAGTTGATCCCCTTGAAAAATGCATGCTTGATTATGATATTGAGAAATTAGGGAAATTAGATCAAGATGTTTCTTTCTATAATGATGCTTTGAATCAATTACTCATTATTGATCATAGGAATGTTAGAGTTGATGTAATGGAACATAATGAAAAAATTGATGAACCTGTGAAAAAGCTCTTAAACTTGAATTGAAACAATTACCTGCTCATCTTCGGTATGCTTTTCTTAGTGGGCCTTCTACTTTTCCTGTTATTATGTCTGCTTCTTTGAGCCAAGTAGAAGAGGAAAAATTGTTGAGAATTTTGCGCACTCACAAATCTGCTTTAGGGTGGTCCATTACTGATATAAAAGGTATTAGTCCTTCGATAGTTATGCATAGATATTTAATGAAGGACACTTATCGACCATTAGTTGAGCATCAGAGGCGATTAAATCCAGACATGAAGAATGTGGTAAAAGTTGAAGTTTTGAAACTCGTTAATGCAGAGATTATTTATGCTATATCTAATAGTTCTTGGGTGAGTCCTATACAGGTTGTGCCAAAGAAAGAAGGGATGACAATAATAAAAAATGACAAAAATAAATTCATATCTACAAGGACAGTAATTGGGTGGCGAGTGTGCATTGATTACAGAAAATTAAATAAGGCCACTAGAGAATATCACTTCTCTCTTCCTTTTATTGATCAAATGCTCGATAGATTAGCAGGTTATCCTTACTATTGTTTCCTTGATGGTTATTTAAGTTATAATCAGATCGCAATTGCTCTTGATGACAAAGAGAAGACGACATTCACATGCCCCTATGGTACCTTTGCTTTCTGGTGAATGCCATTTGGGTTGTGCAACGTCCCTGCTACTTTCCAGCGCTATCTTTGCYGATATGGTTGAAGATATCATGGAGGTTATTATGGATGATTTTTATGTTTTTGGTTCTTCATTTGACATTTGCCTCCATAATCTTTCTCTTTGCTGATATGGTTGAAGATATCATGGAGGTTATTATGGATGATTTTTATGTTTTTGGTTCTACATTTGACATTTKCCTCCATAATCTTTCTCTTGTTTTGCAACATTGTCAAGAAACTAWCCTTG